ACTACAGGCGCCCGCCACAGCGCCCGGCCATTTTTTGGTTGCAGCCATCATTGTTGTTTGGCGGGCCGGGCTGGGGATTCGAACCCTCCACCTTAGGTGTATGTGGCTGGCGCCTTAGCCGCTTGAGCCACAGGCCCTGAGCCATAGGGCAATGATTTTAATAACAGTTTGTAATTTCTCTGTTAATCGGAAGAAGGATAGCAGCAGACACTTACTTAATGTTATCACATTGGCAAAAGTATCCTTGCTGTTATTTGTAGGACAGATAGACATTTGACCAGCCTTCTTACTTCTGCATCCCTCCAGGTCATTCATTCAACAAATATTTATTAAATATTCCTATGAACCAAGTATTGTGCTAGGTGCTTTATTTTTTTATTTTTTACTTTTGAGACAGAATCTCACTTTTCCAGCTAGAGTTCAGGAGCGTCATGATAGCTTACTGCAACCTCAGACTCCTGAGTTCGAGCAATCCTCTTGCCTCAGCCTCCCCAGTAGTTGGGACTACAGGCGCTTACCACATGCCTGCATGTTCTTTTCTATTTTTAGGCAGGGTCTCACTTTTGATCCAGCTGATCTAAAATCTCAAGTGATTTTCCTGCCTTGGCCTCCCAGAGTGCTAGGATTATAGGCATGAACCACTTGCTTGGCCCTGTGCTAGTGCTTTATAAACATTTCAACACTTCACCAAGTACAGTTAGTCCTCCGTATCCAAGAATTTCCCACTTACAGATTCAACCAACCTCAGATTGAAGATATTCTGGGGACAAAACTACAATAAATAATAACAATACAATAAAAAAATACAAATAGAAATAATACAGTATGTCTTTACTTAGAGTTGGCATAAGTTCTTAGAACAGACTTTAAGCAAAACAAAGTATAAGTACCAACTTTTTTTCTCATCAGCATTATGTTATTATTCAAGAACTTGCTATATACATCATTTCTCTTAAAATCCCAATTTCCAAGACCCTATTGATTCTCAACATTAAATGAAGCCTTATTGTATAATATAACAGCTGTTTACATAGCATTTACATTGTATTAGGTTTCATAAGTAATGCAGAGAGATTTAAAGTATACTGAAAGATGTGCACAACTTACAAGCAAATACTATGACATTTTTTATCAGGGACTTGAGCATCCATGGATTTGGTATGCAGGGGCTTCTGAAACCATCCCTCCCACCCCACCCACTCCGCAATACGGGACAACTGTATAGTTATGGAATCATAAAACATTAGAGCTGAAAGGGACTTTAGCATTTAATCCTGGGAATGCTAAATTGAATGGGATTGAGTCCCAGGAGGGTTCAGTGATTTGTCCAATCTCACAGAACTCCTGAGAGGCAGAACTGAACCCCAAGGAGTTGGTAAATCTAGTCCTTAATGCTGGCATTTTCTGTAGAGCACAGGAATTCAGGAGGTGGTTGAGAAGAATCTGAAAAGTGGAGAATCTGAGAAAGAAGATTTAAGACCAGGAGAGATAAGGTGGGATATAATTCAAGTTTATTACAAATGAGGACTACATCTGGATTTGCATGCTACTGCTGTAAAAAGTATTTTAGCAAATAGGAAACCCCATTAGCCATAACTAAGGGAATGAACAGTGGCATAGACAGACCAAAAGTCACCTAGCTTTGTTGTGGGGTGATGTGTTTTGTCCAGTCTTAGATTTGATTTCTACAGTTTTGAAAATTTATGCTTTAAACCAGATCATGATTCCAAACAATAGGAGTCTACCTCAGAGGAGGTAAAAGTTTGAGCTTTTTGGGTTTTTCCCCCAACTTTTCTACACTCCTATTATCTCAGGAGGTTATGGGAATGGCCATTTTTTTTATCCTAGTGCTGAGTGTAAGTTCCAACTGAATTTTTTTTTTTTCCTTTCTCTTTAGGCCTTGTCTGCAGGGTTTCTTTTTGTCTTAGGACTTACAGGATTTGTGGAAGGAGTTAATTGTTTCCTTTGAAAGCCCTTCTGAGATGAGCCAGGGTTGAAGGAGAGTACCATGCTCCAGTTACTGAATTGAAACCACCCCTCCAGTGGAGCAGCCTCCTCCAGTTTCTGCTGGGTTTTGAGCTACCTGTTAAATAAGTCAGTGGAGTTGTCAAGGACAAAGCAGCACTCCCTGGTCACCCCGGGGAAAATCAGACAATTTCTAGTGAAATATTTTAAAGAATTGATGATGAAACTATCATCAAAAGAATCTTTTAGAGCAGTGGTTCTCAACCTTCCTATTGCTGCGACCCTTTAATACAGTTCCTCATGTTGTGGTGACCGCCAACCATAAAATTATTTTTTGTTGCTACTTCATAACTGTAATTTTGCTACTGTTATGAATCTTAATGTAAATGTCTGATATACAGGATGTATTTTCATTGTTACAAAAGGGGTTGTGACCCACAGGTTGAGAACCGCTGTTTTAGAGCATCTTTGTGTTCTGATCTGGTCATTACCTAGGCAATATATGGGGTAGAAACTGCAGAGAGGAGAAGGAGGCACTTGCAGGAGAGTCATGAAAGGGCTAAAGACCTGGGAAGAGTGGTTGAGAATCTTGGGGCCAAGGGCAGCAGCTGCAGAGGTTCTCAGGTGGGGAGGGGAGACTCTTGGCTGAGAGGGGACCCTGAGGTCTTCATGGGCCACCATTCCCCTTGCTTGTATCTCCTTCCTGTGGTGTACTGCTCTGAATACCTGAGTTGTCTTGGTTACCTTATCCTTGGGTGAGCTAGGGAGTGGAATTGGAGACAAAGCATCTTATGTCAAGCAGAGGGTAGCCAGCTGTCAAGACAGGAGACAGGGAATCTCATGCTGCTAGGTTCAGTCTGCTGGCCTGTAACATCAGCCCAGAGGGAATACAAGGAGTACATTGCCAAGACTCAAATAGCAACAAAGATGTAAGTGCTATTTTCACAGTACTCACTCTCCCATTGGCCATTCTTTGGTTAAGAGCCATGGTTAGGAGGTAGGTTAGTGGACCAGGACAGGCAGGAGGCCACCTCTGCTACAGTGGCCATGCTTAGAGACACAGTGGGCAACTTTGTCTATGCTCCACCCAAAGGTTTCATTACATGGACAGTTCTAAAGGTTGCTTTGGGCTAAAGCTGCCTTCCTACCTCTCATCTCCTACTGCAACCCTTTAGCTCTAACTAAGTGTGCTGTTTTTGTTTTGAAACAGAGTGTGACTCTACTGCCAGGGCTAGAGTGCAGTGGCATTATCACAGTTCACTGCAGCCTCAAAATCCTGGGTTCCAGGGATCCTTCTACCTCCGAAGTAGCTGGACTACAAGCATGCACCACCATACCCAGCTTATATATTTGTTTATTGAGATGGGATCTCATTCTTGCCCGGGTGGGCTTGAACTCCTGGCCTCAAGCTATCTTCTTGGCTCAGCCTCCCAAAGTGCTGGGATTATAGGTGTGAACTACTGCACTCAGTCTGTTTACATCATCCTAGGTTTGCTGTGCACCCATATGGTGTAACATAAATACAATTTCTGCAGACTCAGAACCTTTAGTCCTTACCCCAGTAATGTGGTTTTGACATTGGCACTGAATAGTCTACAGGAAAGTGAAATGACCTTCCTACTTCTTACAGGTGATGATTGTCCTAGCTGGTGACTGTTTCAGTATTAGGGCTTTGCCCTAGTTGGGTAGGGAAAGCTAGGACTCTGGCTGGATTCTCATAATGGTGTGCTTTTCTAGGAGCCATGCGGGGCCAGCGGAGCCTGCTGCTGGGCCCAGCCCGCCTCTGCCTGCGCCTGCTTCTGCTTCTGGGCTATAGGCGCCGCTGCCCACCTCTGCTCCGGGGCCTGGTACAGCGCTGGCGCTATGGCAGGGTCTGCCTGCGCTCCCTGCTCTACAACTCCTTTGGGGGCAGTGACACCGTGGTTGATGCTGCCTTTGAGCCTGTCTACTGGCTGGTGGACAACGTGATCCGCTGGTTTGGGGTGGTGAGTGATGCCCAGGGAGCAGGAAAAAGGGTGTTTTGGGGGAGCAGAGGGACTTCTCTCTATTGGAGCCACAGTAGGCTTTGAAGGCCAACCCCCATCTCCAGGAAAATTCCTGAGTCTGCCTGATGTAGCTGTCTGTCTACCTGACCTTACTGGTGTCAACAGGTGTTTGTGGTGCTGGTGATTGTGCTGACGGGCTCCATTGTGGCCATCGCCTACTTATGTGTCCTGCCTCTCATCCTCCGAACCTACTCAGTGCCACGACTCTGCTGGCATTTCTTCTATAGTCACTGGAATCTAATCCTCATCGTCTTCCATTACTACCAGGCCATCACCACTCCACCTGGGTACCCACCTCAGGTGGGTCCTCATAGGGGAATGGGGGAGGGGGAGAGTTGCAGGCTATGGGAGTTAGTCCCAGGAGTGAGGAAGAGTGCCTTAGTGACTTCTGAAGTACAAAACTGATGCTGCCACAATTGATGCTCTTCTCCTTTTGTGTAGGGCAGGAATGACATCGCCACAGTCTCCATCTGTAAGAAGTGCATTTACCCCAAGCCAGCCCGAACACACCACTGCAGCATTTGCAATAGGTGGGTGCTGGCTTTGTTCTGTAAACCCCAGGTGTGACCCTTCTGTTGTAGCCCTAGGGTAAATCCTAGACATGAAGTTTGCTATTATGTATAAAGCACCCATTATGTGTCAGGCAGTGTGCCACCTCTCGATACCTTGTCTTCAGGATTGTCCTGAGTTACACATTTTTACCGCTTGTGGAAACTGGGTTCAGAGAGATGAGTTACCTTGTCTAGTATCATACAGCTAATAATCCACATAGCTGGGTTTGAAGTCAGGCCCAGCTGTCTTCAAAGTCTATGCCCTTTCCACCTCAGCAGGATGCTGGTCCTTGTAGGAAAGGATTGGCACTGACACCTCAAGAATCTTGGCCACCGTAATAGAGCCTGTGTCCCTTCCTCACAGGTGTGTGCTGAAGATGGACCATCACTGCCGTATCCTTTTTTCTCTTCTATCTGATGCCTTCTTTAGCTCCCCAGCACTGTACAGGGTTAGTGCCACAGATAGGCTTCTAGCATCACCCTGCAGAGAACACTGGGCTTATGAGAAGTTAGGAGCAGAGATGTGGGGGTTGGCCATCTACTTGGGGGAGCAGGGAATCAGCCAATAGCTCTTTCTTCTGCTTACTTTTGTGCTAAGAGATAGCTGTTGGATGGGAAGAGAAAGTTTGGGCTTCTGTGATTGTCTACTAGGTGTGTCTTATGGAACTATGGGTTCCCTTCTGCTGTCCCATACAGATACCTGGCTAAGCCCAGCTAGGCTGAAGTACTGGCATATTCATTTTATTAAAGGATTTCCATTTCCATGATTCCCTTAAGAGACTTAAGGGTTCTGAAAAGCTTAGATCCTTTCACTCAGCCTCTGGAAACAGTCCCATATTTTCCTACCTTTGGAAAATAGTTCTTGGTGACTGGATGACTGAGGCTTGGGTGATGTCACTGTGAACCAAGGATGAACCAGAGAGGTCTGCATATCCCCTGAAATTGTGGTTGATCTTGTCCTTAATCATTCCCCCACCAGCGTGGCTGAACAATTGTGTGGGCCACTATAACCATCGGTACTTCTTCTCTTTCTGCTTTTTCATGACCCTGGGCTGTGTCTACTGCAGCTATGGAAGTTGGGACCTTTTCCGAGAGGCTTATGCTGCCATTGAGGTGAGCTCATTGTTAGGAGCAGGGTGGCTCCATAGTGCTAGTGCAGAACTGTGGGGTGTGGAACCTGTCCCTAAGGATGGGGCTGGTAGTTCCCCCATTCTAGAGGCCTGAGAGTATAACCAGCACTGTTTTCCATCCTCTTAGAAAATGAAACAGCTCGACAAGAACAAACTACAGGCGTTTGCCAACCAGGTGGGCTGTCCCCACCCCACTGCCTCCTGCTGCTCAGGCCTAGGGGTGTAGAGTTGCTCAGGCGACTTGGGCCGACCAGTTTAGTTGTACAGGGAGGCTGTCAGTGGTGGGCAGACTAAGCTGGAAGTCTCTGGTGTGTGACAGGTTTTGGCTACCTATCCTACCATCACCTTCTCTTTGGGCTGAGCAGGCACTCTGCCTTGGTGATGGCCTGAGCAGCAAGGAGTCTATGTTAGTCTGTGTAATGGGGCTCCAGGGGACACACATCAGACTGGAGCATTCTGATCCTCCTTGGCTCTTGGTTCATTCATATCTGGACCCTCTCTTCCCCTCAGTGCCTTTCAGGACTCCTTAATCTACCAAGCACATCTTGGGCTCATAAGATTGTATTTCTGCCGCCCTTCATAGTCCTTGGTGGAACTCTTAGTTCTCCCCCTCCAGTTAGTGCATTCTGGGTGTGGCCTGATCTCTCTCGGGTAGCCACACAGAGGAGTTCCAGCTGGGGATCGGCGTGGCTTCCCCTGGAGCTCCATTGGTGTTGTCAACCTGAAGACCCAGGGTCAGCTCCTCCTGTGCTTTGCCATCTTGTCCAGACCTGTTCTGCACAGTGTTTGTCTACATGATGCTGTGGCTGGGCCTGGTCCACCCATCTGGCTGCTGCCCTGACTCCTCTGTGGCTTTTACTCCCATTTTCTTTGCCTGGGTTTAGATTACTTCCTGCCTATAGATGCTGGGGGATCTGGTGGCAGTTGCTGGAAACCAATGGAGCAAATGAATCAGGCTTTGCTGTTTTCTTTTTCTAGACATATCACCAGACCCCACCACCTACCTACTCCTTTCAAGAAAGGATGACTCACAAGAGTCTTGTCTACCTCTGGTTCCTCTGCAGGTAATTTAACTCCCATTTTTGGTAGGTTTTTTTTTTTTTTTTTGAGATAGAATCTTACTCTGTCACCCCAGGTAGAGTGCCATGGTGTCATTGTAGCTCACAACAATTACAGCAATGTCAAATTCTTGGGCTCAAGCAATGTTTCTGCCTCAGCCACCTGAGTAACTGAGACTATAGCCATCTGCCTCAATACCTGCCTAGTTTTTCAATTTTTAGTAGAGACAGGGTCTTGCTCTTGCTTAGGTTGGTCTTGAACTCAAGCAATCTACCAGCCCCAGCCTCCCCAGAATGCTAGGATTATAGGTGTGAGCCACCATGCTTGGCCTCCATTTTTAATAGATTTAAGGGAGGGGCAGCTTCAGGAAAACCTTTAGGTGCCCACATACAGGCAGGCAGGACCCCATCCCTAAGTGAACTGCCACTATTCTCCTAGTCTAATTTAGGTTTGCAAAGAGTCTGCATTTCATTTTCTTGAGCATTCTGGGGCAGGGAACATTAAGAATACTAGCATTGGGCAGCATCTGTGGCTCAGTGGGTAGGGCACTGGCCTCATATACCAAGGGTGGCGGGTTCAAACCCGGCCTCAGCCAAACTGCAAAAAAAAAATAGCCGGGTGTTATGGTGGGTGTCTGTAGTCCCAGCTACTCGGGAGGCTGAGGCAAGAGAAGCGCCTAAGCCCAGGAGTTGGAGGTGACTGTGAGCAGTGTGACACCACAGCACTCTACCAAGGGCAATGGAGTGAGACTCTGTCTCTACAAAAAAAAAAAGAATACTAGCATTGCTTGTTACTAAGTACAAGGATACAAGCATCTTTGTTATGTACCGAGGTAAATTAAACTCTTTATTTTATTTCATAGCACCTACCTAAAGGGGTAGAGTGACTTGTTTCATAATACACAGCTAGGAATGGTAGTGCTAGACTTTGAATTTCATGCCAACCTCTAGTGCTTTTACTACTCCCCACTATCTCTCAAGCACAAGTTTGAGATAGGATCTCATTCAGTCTCCCAGGCTAGAGTATAGGAGCATGATCATAGCCCACTGTAGCCATGAACTTCTGGGCTCAAGTGATCTTCCTGCTTCAGCCTCCTGAGTGGCTGGAATTATAGGGGTGAGCTACCATACCTGGCTGATGCTGTTTATAGGTGTAGTAGAGTAAAAGCTCACTTAGGTGGCTCGGCGCCCATAGCTCAATAGTTAGGGCACTGGCCACATGCACTAGGGATGGTGGGTTCGAACCTTGCCTGGGGGCCTGCTAAACAACGACAATAACAAAATAGCCGAGCGTTGTGGTGGGCACCTGTAGTCTCAGCTACTTGGGAGGCTGAGGCAAGAGAATCACCCAAGAGTTTGAGGCAATTTGAGATTGCTCTCTTAAGCCCAAGAGTTTGAGGTTGCTGTGAGATGTGACGAGATGGCACTCTACTGAGGGTGACACAGTGAGACTCTCAAAAAAAAAAAAAAAAAGTTGGGTGGCGCTTGTGGCTGTGGTTAGGGCGCTGGCCCCATATACCAAGAGTGGCGGGTTTGAGTACGGCCCTGGCCAAACTGCAACAAAAAATGGCTGGGTGTTGTGGTGGGCGCCTATAGTCCCAGCTACTTGGGAGGCTAAGGCAAGAGAATTGCCTAAGCCCAAGAGCTGGAAGTTGCTGTGAGCTGTGATGCTACAGCACTCTACTGTGGGTGATAAAGTGAGACTCTGTCTCTAAAAAACAAAAAACAACTGGTCTTAAAAAAAAAATTTAGGATATATGCAGGGAAATGAAGAATACTTGGATAGAGAGGCTGCTAGCTAGTTGTTGCTTAGCTCAATTTTAGAACTATTTCCTCTTGCCCTGTCTAACCTACACACCTATCTTTGCCTCTCTTTTCCTAGTTCTGTGGCACTTGCTCTGGGTGCCCTAACCATCTGGCATGCTGTTCTCATCAGTCGAGGAGAGACTAGCATTGAAAGGCACATTAACAAGAAGGAGAGACGCCGACTGCAGGCCAAGGGCAGAGTGAGTAGGGTTGAGAGCTTGGTGTGATTGGGCAGACAGGTAAGTGAACCTGTCCTCTTGCAGACAGAGGCCATGGTCAGGGCTGACTAGGGCAAGCATCTTGTAAGGCCAGAACTTGCTTACTGAACTTTAGCTTAGTCAGTTTAGTCTCAAAAATTAGAAGGGGATTAAGTAGAAGAGGTTTGTAGAAATGCATGTTTTTCTTGGTTATAGGTATTTAGGAATCCTTACAACTACGGCTGCTTGGACAACTGGAAGGTATTCCTGGGTGTGGACACAGGAAGGTAAAGATACATGGATTGTGTTGCCCATCTCTGTGGCAAAGATTATAGTTTGTTTGTTTTTTATTTGTAGAGATAGTCTCATTTTATCACTCTTGGTAGAGTGCTGTGGCCTCACATAGCTCACAGCAACCTCTAACTCCTGGGCTTAGGTGATTCTCTTGCCTCAGCCTCCTGAGTAACTGGGACTATAGGTACCTCCTGCCACAACGCCTGGCTATTTTTTTTTTTTTGGCTGGAGCTGGGTTTGAACCCGCCACCTCCAGCATATGGGGCTGGCGCCCTACTCCTTTGAGCCACAGGTACCGCCCCTTGCCTGGCTATTTTTGTTGTTGCAGTTTGGCCAGGGCTGGGTTTGAACCTGCAATCCTTAGTATATGGGGATGGCGCCCTACCCACTGAGCCACAGGCGTTGCCAAAGATGATGTTCTGTTCTTATGAACACTTGAAATGTGGCTAGGGTGACTGAGGAGTTTTTTTTTTTTTTTTTTTTTTGAGACGGAGCCTCAAGCTATCCCCCTGGGTAGTGCCATGGCATCACGCTCACAGCAACCTCCAACTCCTGGGCTC